CTTCTCAGAGATCAAAGGTTCACAAAAGATGCTGTGCACTGCAAACTACGTTCTGAAGATGGAACATGTACATCACAGATTCAGAATAATTTTAATACTTATTTCAAGCCATTCACTCCTTGTACTCTGGTATCGAGGCACAAGACAAACTGTAATAAATTTCAAGTAATTTCTCTAAATCCCTTATGCAATTCTGTCATTTTTAATCTATTTCCTGTACAACTGAAACCAAAATGGCAATGTTTGCAATTGATCTGATTAACTTCGATTATGTAAGTGATTAGAAAGACTAAAAGTTTCAGAGAGGTTTGCACTTAGTTTGACTTGTTTGGATAAATTAAACAAGAAAAACAAATATTTTGTACTTGTTATTTCTGATTCTTAATCTACTACAAATTGCAAAAAGTTAAAGACTTTAATGTCTTAAATGACAAGTATTCAGTATAACAACTTCCTATTTTAAAATAATTACAGAAATAAAGGAATTAACCTTAAATTCTTACAGAATTAATCTGTCTCCAAGAATGAGGATAAAAATAAAATGTCTAAAAGAAGAAGAAACATCATACAATATATGCCCTAACACTGAACAATGCCGTACAGTTTATATCTTGCAGAAAGTGTTAAAATGGTTTGAATCAATAGCTTTCACATACCACAGGTTCAAGCACAGCACATAATTGCAGCTCTCTAAGCCAACATCCTTAACCTCTAACTATAAAGCATAAGGAATAGCAATGTAAAATGTTACAGCTGGAACATTGCATCAAGAAGAATCTATATTTTAACATACAAAGACTAATTTGCATATACGCCCTGATCCTGCAAGTTCCAATGCATAAAATGAAGGCTTGCGCTCCATTTGTTCCACAAAACTCAGTGGGAAACTTTGTGGATGTAGGGATCTGCTCACACATTGAAATCTGCAGGATTGGGGCTCTAATAAGCAAAAACTAAACAATTTTAAAATGGCAAGTTGTTCTGAATGAATGATTGGATAAGAACCTTCACACAGTGATATGACAATAAAAAAGTATGTTTGCACAGATCCAAGACAAATACCCTATACACCTAGTACACAATTTTTAAAATATCTCCAGAAGAGCTGGGTAAAAACAAACATCACAATGCTAGGCATTTTCACAATACATAACAGTAAAATAAACTGAGTTTAAGTCATGAATTTTTTTTTTAGACACTTTAATTAGCTGCTACTAATTTCACATGGCTGCTTCTCTGAAACCTGTCTTCAATTGGCTAGTAAAAACCCTTTACATATAGAGAATACAATTCTACATGACAAAGTTAAAACAGTCCTTTAAAAATTTAGGACCAGGTTTTTAAAGGTATTTAGGTATGGTGCCTAATCTATAATAACCAATGGTGTGGATTTTGTCAAACCTGCCTTTTACAAAGCTAGAGGATTCCAACATTTGTGTCAATATATCTGGGATGGGTATTCTCTATCATCTATGCCACCTCCACTAGATTTCTTTAAGTGTAGATTACCCCCCCCCGCCATATATATTTAGTATAAAAACACTTCTTCTAGTATTCCCCAATATATATTCTGATATACTTTCAAAAAGGAAAGCTTGCTAGATTTAAAAGATAGAGTTTTCCTGTGCATGACAAAACAAACGTTGTATAAGAAGATTATAGTAAATGCAATATACAAAACTGATTTTACAGGATAAAAGGAAGGCCAAATTCAAGATCAAGAAGGAAAACAACCCTGTTTTTTCCCAATGAAGCTTTCACTGTTTATGCTGTATCTAAAAATGAATACGTAAAACAATGAGATTTTCTCCAATCACACTAAAAAAAAGCTAAAACCTAGGACAAGCGCAATTTATACCATAAAGCTGCTTCATTCAACATCACGTCTGCATTACAGCTGTCAGAAACATCAACAATCATTTTTTGAAAAAAAGAGCAACTATGCAAAGCTGATCACTGTGTGTGTGGAAACACTGAACTCCTTAGAGGAATGTTATCTTCAAACGAAACGGACTTGAAGTTAGCATTTTATTAGCATTTCTAAATGTAATTGCCACCTTTATTTTCTGAAAATGTCAGGCATTTTCCAACAGAAGTCTGAATTCAAAATGTACATTAATTTTCATGTTCACAAGGTCAATATTTGCCTGATAGGAAGATTTTTTTTACGTACATTGTTTTATGGATAGTAAAAGCCTTGGCAGCAAATGTTTTAAATCGTCTTAATACAATCCAGCAAACTAACTGACAGGATAACTTTGGCTGCAACTGACCAGAAAATATAAGCATTGTTATGGCATTTTTGGAAAGAATGGGGAAAATGAGAAATAGAAAGTCAAACATTGGAGGACATATGTATTTAATATAATATATATAATAAATATAAATGTGTATATGTAAATAAGAGGACTTATATGACTGTTATATGAATAAGTGATCTGGATCATTACAAATCCTGGTAACAGGTATCTAGATTTCACACTGAAGTTCAAAGTAAAGCAGCTGCAAACTCAAACTTTTGTTCAAAAATCCACTTTCTTAACTGAAGACCACTCTGCATAAATGCCTTGACCAGGCAGGCCTGATTTTTAAGTTGCACACTTTTTAAACATCTCCAAGGAAAATATAAAGCAGATACCCACGTTAAAAAAAAAGATACTGGGGCAGGAGATCTACAGTATCTAAAAGCCGAGCGGTGTCATTTCTGCAGAAAAAGCGAGGAAATTCACTAGAAAGAAGCAACCCAAAATTAAATCAGATTGAAAAATCTTGTATAAAGCTGAATTCTCAAAATATTGATCTCATCTTTCCCCCTTCCCTTCATATTCTACCTTTTTTCCTTCTGTATTTTTTTCTTGTCCAGTTCTTTTAAATTTCCCTCTTTTTCTTCGCTCCCACTTTGTCCGCAACTGCTGAAGCCCAGACCCCCACCTTGCCTGTTAGAATGGTGTCCACTTTAAATATGAGCTGGCACCTCTGGGACAAGTAGAAAATTCTCTCTGCCCCGTGGAAAAAAATGCAGGCAACAGCAATGTGAAATGGATGTGTACCTGGTTGGTTTCACTACTTTGCTCCCCATTTGTAAAATGGGCATAATACCTGCTTTTTCATCCCTTTGTTTGTCTTGTCTCAAGACTGCAAATGATTTAGGATAGGGACTGTTTCTTACTGTTGTGTATGTACAATGAGGCACCAATCTCAAATGGGACTGTTAGCCACTACTGTCATATAAAACACCACCACTTCGGTCATGAACCCTTATATGAAGATTTGAAGTAAGTGAATTATGTATAAGTAACTAAGTAAAATACCAACATGAATGTTTATAATCAAAACTAGATTCCATCTCATAATACATCATTGGCTCCTAGAGTCTTTTCTCTTCTCCTTTCCTCTCAGTTTCTATGGTGTCCCTTACTAGGTTTTCAGGTTTCCCAGAGGTGCTGAGGTCTTAACAATATTCTGCATGCCTAGAGGGCAGCAGTTACAATTTTAGTTGGGAAAAGGATAGACAGAAGGAAAACAAGAATAGCGCTGCTTGCGTTCTTATAGTCATCTAGCTCTGACAGATTTGCCCTTTCAGCACTCCATCAATTCAATCAGCTGCCTGTCACTATCAGTTTATCAGTAGCTCAAGCCTGTTTGATTCAAACATCAAAGAAATCATGGTATGTTGTGCTGGTGTCATCCGACAAATAATAAGTACAATGATGTGCATAACAATCTGGTATTCTAGCTCTTGTTTTTATGACTGCTCAGTGCAGAGGACAGAACAAGAGACGGTCAAAGCAAACAAGGGAGAGAGAATATACAAATACGGGAAAACAGGAGAACATGAAAGGCTAGGAGAGGCGCAAGATTACAAAGAAAGAAAACTGACAGCTGTTAGGTAGAGCAGCTCCTAATGTTATACTAACAGAGCATTTGAAGCAAATTTCTTTGACTGACTGACTTGTGTCACTTTCATCATGACTGCCTGGATTTAAATTAGCAGGCTTTTCCAATGGCTGGGTAGACCAGGTTCTGGATAATGTCTCAATGTTTCATTAGTTACTGGTTAAACTACATCAACTATTAGGGTCCCCTACATCAGGTGGTTTCTTGAATTCCTAAAAGACAACTGGTTTCTCTCATATCCAACATATCCTGCAGTGATTCTATTGTATCTACTTTTTTTTAATCATCATAAAACACCACATGCTGAATTCGCTCTTTTTTATTTTATTTATTTTTTTTTTTTAAAGGTAGCTGCCTCTCACTATCAGAAATCAGAACAAAATCCAGGGAACCAACTCCTTGTTGCTCCTGCTCAGGAGATGGAAATATAAGTTGCCTGCCAAGCACAAAAAAAGTCTAAAGCTACAGGGATTATATGCACCTGGAACAATAGGGCTCCATCCTCTTTGTGGACTTGCATAGAGTATGCATAGGTATGAACAGTCTGTTAACATACAAGATACTGAGGAAAGGAATCAAACTTGAACTGTATAAAAATTTTACAATTAACTTTTTTGATTAAGAGTCAGTAGCAAGAAAGCCAAATGTATAGACTAGCTTATCAAAGCAGACAGATTTAAGTTCACTTTTAAAAAATATTTGAGAAACCTAGGACAAAACAAAAAATGCAGTATAGGCTTCACAAATCAAAGCCATGCAGGCTAATGGTATTTTCTACTTTAAAGGGTTTGCTATGGAAAAGAAATCTAGGATAAAGTTTGCATTTGAAAAGCAACTTTTACAACAATTCAGATCCAAGTAAAACACAGACTGTTCTTTAAAACATACTAGTTAAACTGTATTTATGTGGAACAATACTGGCATCCAGTGGCCAGTTCAATTAATCACAGAAATGGCTGACAAGTTATTCTCGTATGTATTTACTTAACAGGCAAAAATAAAAATATGGTGTCTGTCCAGAAAAATGTACATGATTTATAATCTACATTTATCTATAGCAAAATATACACTTATCTCCCAATTCTTATAGATACATTTGTTACCTGGTAAAGCAGTGATGAAGTCCCGTTGTAACATGGGCTTCAAATAAGAGTTAATATGTCCATGCTGATAGTGACACATTCGTGAAATAAGGTGTTCCACAAATTCCACTTGATCTGATTCAGACCACTGGTCAAAATATTTAATACACAAGTCTTTTTCCTTTTCGTAGTTTCCTTCCGATGGTCGTTTCCTTGAGACTATCACGGATGAAGTTCCATTACTTATCTATTTTTAAAAAAGATATAAAAGTTAATACTTACATATCAGCATGTATAGTCAGGTAAGAGTAACCTGAACTCTGAAAAAGGGGCTGAGAATGCAAGGAAGTGCATCTTAACAGAATGAAATATTAAAGTCTATAATAAAAGCCATTTATGCAAAAAGATTAACTTGGACATTCTGCTTTCATAGATGAGATTACTGAAATTGTTTTTTTTCTTATATAATTATAAATTATCAATTACACTGAAAAACTAAAAATCTCTTCCCATTTACAATTATTTAAAGTAACATTGAAGTGCTCATTCAACATAGGGGAAAGGCTCTCCTATTCACACCACAACTTTCTACTGCTGTATTCCTTCCACAACTTCCATTGGTTTCGATGGATGTAATTATACAACACAAATCAGGAAAAAGATATGAAGTGCCGATAATAATTAGAAATTAAAAATTGCACTGCCCATTTCTTGCCCCATTATTTAAAACTGACAGGAATTTGTAAATTATATATCCTTTCCTTATGACAGTCCACTCCTGCCACCTGACAGTGTGCAAATGCCAACACCTAGGACCATTAAATGGGACCTTGGTTTTTAATTTTCCAGTTGGGTGCCGTAACAGATATTGCCATGGATGCCACACCACTACACAATACAGATGTTAAATTTTTCACTCAAGAATAGAAGAAAGTTCAAGACCATACTGCCTACTTCCATGATACTTCTTGGTACCAAACATTCTCAGTATTTGGTAAGAATTTCTAACCATCACTGTGCATACACCACCACCTAGTGTTTAATAAGCACTATTATAGGATGACAAGACATCGTGCAGTTTAGGCAGAAAGAGTGATAGCAAGAAACAGGACAGCTCCACTAAGATCTATAGTATATTGACTATAGTATATTGACTAAGCAGGCTAAGCTTCACTAGTACCCTGAAAATGTGAAACTAGAGCTTCCAGATCTAAAAGTGTTACGCACTAATCCACTATGCTATATGCAGACACTTAGGCCTTATCTACACTGCTACTTACAGCACTGAAACTTTCTTTGCTCAGGGGTGTGAAAAAACACCCCCCTGAGCGATGCAAGTTTCAGTGCTGTAAAGTGGCAGTGTAGATAGTGCTACAGTGCTGGGAGCCATGCTCCTAGCATTGGTAGCTAGTCCCCTCACTGAGGTGGTTTTATTGCAGTGCTGGGAGAGCTGGAGCCGCGACTACACAGCCACATTAAAGCATTGCCACAGCTGCGCTTCAATGCCAACTGTGTAGACATACCCTTAGATGTGCAAATTGATCCACAGAGCATTTCAGGGTATGTCTGCAGAGTTTGTAGGAAAAGCAGTGATACTGCTAATTTCAGTTTGCTCTAGGATTCCTTAAGTTTTCAAAAGCCTCTTGAAACTAAAGAATAAATACCACTTAAACCAGCAGAGTGGTTGTTTCATGCCTTTCTTTGCTGGGTGTTGCTCTGGTGTACAAGTTGAGCAAACCTCAAATTTGCAAGACCCCAAAATTGCACGGGTAGTAAATATAAGGGAGGAAAGAACTAAACAAGTAAGGGATTGCTTGTAACCTCAACTGTTTTCAGGGAAGATTTGATACAAACATGGCCACAAACACCACCCAGAAAGGGAAAATAAAGAGAATAGAATTGAAGAGGAGCATGTAACCAAGCAGCCACACATATCACAGTCTTCCTCTTCCCTTTACTTTTTCACAGAAAAAAAGCATAACATCCTGCACATGGTGTGTGACAAAGTCTGAAAGGTTACGGTTTGAGCAGTGATATCTCAAAAAGCATTTGTTACTGACATTCTACATTTTATTCATCTACCTCTTCTTTATACATGACAATAGTTACACACACACCACACCATCCTTTGGATTATTCCTCTTGTACAGGGAGTAAAGTTCATAGGTAGGGAGATGACTGTTTAAATATAAAAACATCAGCACACAAGGAGAAGTTGCCCTATAATCGGTTTTTTTTGTTTGTTTGTTTTTTTAAAAGGACAAGGTTTTATGGACAGGCAATTTTGACTGTTTATTTTACTGGGAAATAAATCCATAGATTTACGGATTGCTGGTCTCTCAGGCTGAGACCATGTGACTGTTTTAGAGTCAACTCTAGTCAAAGCCGCATTCCATATAGCAGGTTGAACTTCTCAGAAGAAGATGACCGATTACTATCTGGCAATAATTGATCAAATTAAATCCAGAGGTTTCCTGATACTGTGTTTCAGAGCATAAAGGCAGCAAGCTTGGAATACACACACCTTCCTCTAGAGAACAATATCTGTTATGCCTATTTCACCACAGTCAGTTTTCCTGCAGTGGTAGGACAATGCTAGACCTTGTTCCTTCCATTTATGGCCATTGCACTGTCTCTCTCTATTTTATGAATCCGTACTGAAACCTGTGTTTTGATGCTGAAATTATCTCATTTCAAGGTAGAGTGAAGAAAGTTTTAAAAATCTGGAAAGAACAAGTCATGTATAAAATTGTCCATCACTGTCATCTTCAACCTGAGGACTCCACTCTGAGCTAAATATACGATGGCATCAAGTCTACTATGTATAAGAGGGACATTCAACTAGCAGGAGTAAGCTCTCTCAAAGGCAGACATATTGAAAATAATGCCAACTATCTATATATCATTTACTGCCTTCCCTTGGGAACCTCAGTCATACCTGCCATAGGGTATTTTTCTTTGGAGATTCATCTTCATTCTGATCCTCCATTACTGATGTGTTCTAGGAAAAAACAGAAATATTATTTGAATTTTCCTCTGCATGTGTTTAAATTTTGTGGCAATTCCATGCCTGTGCAAACTTTTTGAAAAGCACATCTAAAAAAGATAAAACCTTATTTTCCTATCAAACATTACAAGAGATTTCTAGTCACATAAAATCTAGATACCATAAATGTTAAGATTTCCAATGAACTAGAGTATGTTCACGGATTCCATTTACAGTAAAGATCATTCCACTTCTGACCTCTCTTCAGTTTCCATCAACAGGCTCTCATCTAGCCTTTTTAATTATCTCAATGGGGAATAAGTCCATTTATGAATTAGAATTAAACTCCCTCAGGTGAACAGGAAAATTGCTGAAGTGATTAAACAAGCAGCTTCTGATGTGAAGTCAAAATACATACGTCTAGGGTGAAAAAAATCCAGTCAGTACACCCTCTTACTCATGTAATATTAGATCATATATTAGACATAAAAGATCTATCAGGAGTGCAAGATTGTTCTCTACAGACTATTTTGTAGCTGATTGCCATTTACAGTTTTTAATGTCCCAAGAGATTTGGCAGCTGCCATTTCCCTTTACTTCTATTTTCCTTTCAAGAATTCTGATATCTTTTTCCCTTCCATCTTCACCAGTATGTATCTCACTTCAAACTTCTCTTCTCCCTCTTTACCTTTCTCCTGTTTTCTTCCCTTCCCTTTTTTTTTTTTAAATGGAAAACCTGACGTCCGCCTCCCTCAACATCCATCCTCCCCTCAAACTTTCCTTTTCCCTCAGTTCATATCTTCTTTTCTCCACTACCTGCCCACATTCACTCACTCGATTCTGCCACTAAAACTGAAACAGTCATGCATTCTCTCCACAAATCACACTCATGAATCCCAACTTACTCACTGCTTCCCCTCAGACCTCTGCAATCACTATTCACTGGACTCACCCTACACACCCATTCCCTCTCCTCCCCTCCATCACTCATACCTACAAAAAATTGGCCAATCGATAATGGATTGGTAAAGGGGCTGTCAGGGAAAGCTGTGTATTTTTTTAAAAATGAAAACTATAAATATTTCTACAGATGTGTATATTTTGATGTTACCTCTCTTCCCTTCTCCTTTATATATCACTTGTTCTGGGGAAAAACGTGGAATTAAGATGACTTTTATACCTACTTCCAAGTGTATATTTTATCCTGCTTCCCTGCCTTTCTTTTTTTTGGTCGGGGGGGGGGGTCTTCTTCCATTATGAACTCTCTCTGATAGAAACTGTACACACAACTGCTTAGGAGCCACCCCCCCCTTCCAGGGTACTGGCTATGTTCTGAACACATTTACCACCCTTCCCTCTTCCTCTATACAGTTTTTGTCCTGTGATAATAGCAAATCACAGAATGCAGCTTTATTTCAACACCAAAGGAGGAAGCTTACTAGAAAAATAAAACAGCATCACCCATAAAGCTACACTCACTGACCCCCCTTTTAACTGTAAGCTTCCCTCAAACTTATTTGAGTCCCTCCTGCCTGGCTTCCTGTTACAGAGAAATGGCGTATCCCACTTTTGAAGAATTACATTGTGAATTGCCAGCAAGAGGAATATGCCTGGAAGAAAAAAAGCAAACTCACCTGCTTATGATGTAAGCAGCAGAGACAAATACAGCAAAAAGTGGAGGAGAAGGAGTCCAAATACAGACAGAGGCAGTACTATTTATATTTGTTTAAAATTTTCATACGCTTCGAGGTGACATACATATGTTAAGCACAATTACACTTGAAAAAGCTACACACCTTTGCCTCATGTTTTAAAATTATCATCTCATTGGGATTGTGTTCTCTGGTTTTTAAATGCAGCAGTACTGTCACCGATGTAAACACCTCTTTTTATGCATGATTCTATTTGCTACTGCACAACCATCCAGAAGGAGCACAAATTAATTGACAATAATTACTGGTACTCTGCCCATCCATACCAATAAGTGATACTGGAAGACTAACAAAAGCCCAGTGAGTTCTCAAGGATAAAAACAAAGCCAAAAATATTCATGAAGTGGAAATTTTGCAGGAAGTACAGGTGCAAATGCCTAAGAACTACTAACAATGGAATAAATTAGCTGCATCTGTTAAAAGAAGAGTATAGATCATCTCCCTTTAAAGGTGAAATATAAATGTAAAAAAAGAACGGTTAGTTTTACATGCTAGCACAGTATAAAAAACTCACTGGTAACGGACCACAAACAACTGAAATGAAAAGAAGATTGAATGCTCTTTTAATCTGATGACTTGGGGTTGGTGTATTCAGCAGACCAGCCCAGGTGAAAGATAAAATGTTGCCACTCCCCTCAAAAATTCCAGCATACTTGAATCAGTCTTGTTTCCCCAAATAATTCAATTCTGAGCTGCCATCCCACCTGGACTCGACTCCCATTACTTCCCTGTTTCTTGCTCCCTCCCCATCTCAACGCAAATGGCTCAGAAGTCATTTTTCCTCACTCCCCTTACCACCAAGAAAAATAAGCAGTGACTAAAAGGTTGTTCTGCTCACTTACACCTTGTCTTCCATAAAATGAACCAGTAACTCCACAGCCCCATTTATTCAAGAAATAAAAAAATTATAGTTATAATAAATCTTCGACTGTACACTCCCCAGAGCAGAGACTGTCTTGACACCTGTCTCTTGTATAGTGTGGAGCATGCTGTAAGTGATGTATTTAATCTGCAGATCCTTTTCAAGGACACTGCCATCTTCAAAACAATTAGTTTGTAATATAGTCAAAGAAATATAAAGTTGTGTTTCTCTCCCTGGCTTTGTATTTGCACTTGGCTAACATTTAGCCTTTCCCCACTTCAATGCTATGTTATGGGAATGTTAGCTAACATGTAATAATAAACTTTAGTAGAGCCCAGGGAGAGTATATTTTAATATATGATAGCTGATTACACAGAAATTTCTAGGATTCAACTCAATCAGCTAGCATGTGTTAAAAATAAACAGTGCCTGGTTTATTAGGATAGAGGTTTAGAATGCACTGGCTAATACGTTATATCCATAGAAGTCTGCTATTGGAATGTGTTAACTAATTGGACTAATAGGCAGTGGTAACGATACAACTGAGTTCCTCTGGAATCTAGAGACTATCCCAGTATTAATATATGCATAATATTGTCTATGAATCTTTTAGTTAAATTACTAGAATGCGTGTGGAATTGCCACAATAGGGAGTTAAAGCATATACTTACATCCTCTCTCATAATCCTGATCTTCCTTGCCCTGTTCTGACTCCTAGTTTTCCAATCTATCCCTTTAATTCCTATTTTCTTCAATCCTTACAGAAACTTGTGGAGCCTTGAGACCCTTAGATGGATCCCTAGGCCCCTAATGCAGAAACTGCAACAGCATGCAAGTATCCTAGGGCACATTTTGACTGTTTAGGATCTGAGCTCCACACAGCTAAGCAATAAGGATCAAACTGTACAAATGAACAACAGAGACAGGTGACATGGAAGAGTTATTGAGCTGGAAGGCAAAACTTTGATGTCTCATGGGTGTGGGAACTCCACAAAATATTATATGGAAAGGAAGAGGAGGAACATAAATAATGAGAAAAAAGGACACGGGAAACATATTGAAAAGAACATGCTTTAGAAAATTGACAAATTCTACAAAATTTACCATGAATATTTTACATACATTCCTTCCCACAAAGTTGATAAGTTTTTATTAATTCTGTTTAGATTATCAATAAAATCTACAACTCCTAGATAAGTGGCAAGAATTTTGTACAAGTGGGTTAGACCATTGCCCATCAAGCCAGAAATTCCAACTGTGGGAATAGCAGATGCTTCACAAACTGGTGAAATCCCCATAATCATGTAACCAATTGAACAATGTTTTGAGTATAGGTGGATACAAGAGTCATTATTAGACCCATGCATCAATTAATTTATGCCCTGAAACATGCAACTGAGTATGCTTGGTACAACTACAAGAGGATGCCATAAAATTACAAAGTTAACCAACTGGAGTTGTTTATAGACGAGAGAGAAAAAAGGGGAATAAAACAGAAAAGGGGGAAACAAAGAAAAACCAATGCAGATGAAAAGCACAGTAATGAATTATATTATAAACCTAGTATAGCATAAAACTGAATTTTAGTTAAATATAGAACTTTTTGAACATGCCAAAATTTTAAAGCCAATTCACTTCCCGGGTACATCTGGAAAAACTTCACACTGTAACAATGTGTTAGGAAATCTAATACAGGGGGTTTCTGCCATCCCCCTTACAATCAACTGGACTAATAGTAACCATGTTGCATAAATTAACAGGAAAAGCAATCATTAAACGTAATCAGGATTTCAGAACATCTTCCATTTTCTTTTATATGCCCTGCGTATATAAATCTTCCCAACCATAATCAGTAATTGTTGATGACAAAAGTAATTATATGAGTAGGCATAACGTAAGTACCAATTACATAAGAAAATACTATTATTCTAGTGTATATTGTACAACATATGTCAAAGTTGCATATAGATTTCCAACCCGTTTTCCCCGAGATTAACACACTAAGACTAATTTTTTAAAAATAATTAGAAATGAAAGTGTTCCAAAATCTTGATTATGTTTAACCATTGCTTTTTCTGTTCATCTAACCATGTGGTTAGTATCAGTCCACTTTATTGTAAGGGGGATGGCAGAAACCCCCTGTATTAAGGGTTTCTGACACTTTATATTACAGACATACTTGTGACATTTTTGAAGAGCTCCACTACCCCCAGAACTCTGAAATGTACAGAAGGATACACCTGGGGTAAAGGAAGTGCCATTTTGGGCAACATGCCACACCCACATTCTATAGCACTGCTGGTATACCTCACTTCAGCATTTCAGATACCACTCACCCCATGCAGGACACAGACAAAACAAATCCTAATGTTGCTACACCCTATCAAAGTCTTCTTTTGCCTGCACTGAAAACCAGACGACCATGAGTTCTAGGCTCACTT